TATATATATATATATATATATATATATATTAGCAATTTATATATATATATATATATTAGCAATTTTTATATATATATATATATATATTAGCAATTTTCTCTTTTACCCAATGGTCTTTGACCGGCGTACTTTCTTATGACTGTGCCCCTCATCACTCACCCAAACATCACGCTCGTTCTGCGGTGTAAGCTTTTCGATGATTTGACCCCGGCAATGGCCGAGGTGCTCTTTACTATCATGCCTCGTGGGCGTGATTACGGCTTGGTCGGCCCCTTATCATTCCTTGTAAGAACAACCATCTTATGCCAGATTTTGACCTATACAGTTAGTCCCTNATCGGCCCCTTATCGTTCCTTTTAAGAACAACCATCATATGGCCAGATTTTGACCCATACAGTTAGTCCCTCCGTCCGTCGGGGTCGCCTTTTGGCGAGCTCAACGAGCGGACTTTGTTGATTCAAAAGTTAGGAGAAATCTGAACGTTACGCGTTGAAGAGATCCTTAGGGCGAGGTGGCGACGTGATGCTTCAATGGTACCATCGAACCGTTACGTCAGTTCGGAGCTGAATCGTTGCATCGATCCGAAACATCGTGAATTCCCATTATGCATCATTATGGAGCACGTTTCCTAGGCACTGTATCGTTTCCCGTGCCCTTTTAGTTTTTTGATTGGCGGCTCTTGGGTTTCTCGCTCAGAACATTTGCGTCTTTATAAATAGGGGGAAATCATCATTTGATTATTACGCTTTTTGATTCAGCTGAGAATTTTGCAAACCTCCACCCTCTTTAGTATTTCATACTTCTGCTTTCGTCAGAATTTGACGCGAGCATCCTCTCTTTTCTTTCATCACCCTTGTTTATTCCGATCAAGTTTAGACAAATGATTTGTTCTTCTTCCCAAACTGATAGGTTTGTCGAAGTTCTGATGCCGAATACGCACCTCCTCTTGGAGAGGGGTGGAGGCGGCGGAAGATGAGGGAGTTCCAACGGAGGCTGAGATACTGCCCCGTCCGGGGAAATTATGGACTGACATCAACAGCCCTACGGGGGAGGAACCGGAACCTATACCCTCTACCATGGATGAAGCGGCGATAGCGGCGCTCAAGACAAGATGGGTAATTCCGGACCATATCAAAATGGTGTCGGCGATGGGGATGGACATTGTACATTTGCACTGTCCAGGGTACTGCGCATTTTACGCGTATCCTTTCGTTGTCGGGTATACGTTTCCTCTGCCCTCTCTGGTGATAGACTTCTGCCGCTTCTACAAAGTGTGTCCGGCTCAGCTTTTACCATACGCGTACAAGCTCTTCCTCATGATTCTCAAGTACGCGAAGCTCACCGGTAAAGGGATCACTTTGGGGCACATGCTTAATATTTTTGCCCCTTAATTTATTCGAGGCACGATGATCCACATGCGCCATCGAGGAACAAAGAGTTTGGTGGTGAAGATGGACAATAAGGCTAATCGCCATTTCTGGGAAAGCTATTTCTATGTGCGGACGGAGCACCTTGTGGCGGACTTGGCAGGGTTCCCTAAGACGTGGAACTTCGCACGTAAGTTTTCCTTTGTTTATTTTGTGAATTCTCTCAAGGCAGTGGACGACCATTCTTCTTTAGGTGGCATTGCTAATTTGTTTTCACTTTCGTAACCGAGAGACTGCCTCCCCCGCCAGTTGACGACATCCATGAGTGGGTAAACGCCATTCTTCCCCATACAGTGAGGGTTCGCGAGTGGGCATCCTTCTACGAGAGATATAGGCGTAAGCCTCTTACTTGTAAGTTGGACCACTATAAATGTTATTTCTTTGCCCTATGGTTCGAGCTCGTCGTTGTATGAATGTCTTTCTTTGCTGATAGGGAGAGTGTGAAGGGAAAGGGCTCCTTCGCTAGCGTTCCATCAACCGACGCCTCCTACCCGGCCCGTACCAAGAGCTGCTACCCGGACTACATCGAGATCTACTACCCAATCTATTCTTGCGGCCGGGGCCATGCGCACGGAGGCAACTTCTCGACCTGAGACTCCGGCTCCTACCATTCGTTCAACGGGCGAATCTTCCTGTGATGATAGTGGAGAGGACCCGTCGAAGAGACGGGGAGTGGAGTTAGAAGTGGCTCCTCCAGTTGAAGCATCTTCGGGGGGAGACCCTCCCTTGGCGGTGTCTGGAATTGATGGCGGTGCTAACCCGGTCGCAGAGGTCAACCCGGTGGCAGAGGTTGTGCCTCTTGTGAGCGATCAACATACTAGTGTGGCGGAGAGATGGAGCCTTGAGACTGCCATTGCTGTCTTGGGTGGCCCTTCGTCATCCAGGCAAAATCGCGCCTCTACTTCGACCGTAGAGAGGGGAAAAGGTGTCGTGGTTGATGATAACGAGTCTGACTCCGACCTCGATCCTGATGATGTTAGGACGTTCGAGGAGGGTTTTACCCGAACTGTGGTAGAAGCGGGAGGTCCTTCCCGAATACTCGAGATTCCATCGAACCTCAATCTTCTGCGAGGCACGGTGGATTTGGTGCCGCAATTCGACCTTCTTACTCTGCCGCAGAGTGTGAGGCTCTCCAGGGCGTCAGTGACATTGAATTATTGCATGAAGTGGCCGCGATGGACCTGATGCTAAATTTCTTCTCTTTGTTTTTTCTCCGCCCCCCCTTTTTTGGGCCTTGGCCTTCACTGACTTTTTTCTTTATCTAGTCTTACATGCTGGAGATCGAGAGTGCTCGCACTCGGGCCAAGGCTTTTCTGATGATGCTTGAAAAGTATCGGCGTTGTTGCAACAAATGCCATGAGATGCATGAGCAGCTCAGAGTGAGAACTGGCAATCAATTTCTCGGGGAGGAGCTGGAGAAAAGGGATCAGGAGCTGATGTAGTCCATACGCAGGTGTAGTGAGCTCGAGGAGCTACTTCATGCTAAGGATGAAGAACTTGAGTTGGGAAAGGGGGTTGCTGCAGAGTATGAGCACCTTTAGGCGAAGGTGTTGTCATTGCAAGCTGAACTCAATCAAAATGCTTCCAGAGTTGAAGCTTTGAGTGCATAGTGGATGGGGAAGTTAGCCAAGCTGGAGAGAAAAGTAGCCGAGTTGGAGAATGCCGAAAATGCTCGGGCGTCAGCTTTAGAGAGAGTGGCGGCATTGGAGGACACTATCTGCGTCCTTCTGTCTGAACAAGAATCCGAGAGGGCAATGGCCACACTAAGGGAGGCATGGCTCGAAGAGTACATTGACGAGATTGATCGGGAAGCTTCAAACTTGGGAGATCAGGCCGCAATCCTCGAGGCTGAAAAGGCTTAATTGTTAGCCCAAGTTGAATCTGCCTCCGCCGTTGTTCCTCGCCACTTGCATGAGCTTTAGATTTATTCCGAGGCTCAACAAGACATATACAAGGGTTTATGGGAGGCGGGCAGTATTTCTGAAGCTGCTTATGAAGGAGCCCGGGTGAAGGCACGAGAGGCTCGTGTCAACTGCGATTACGATCCTGCAACACCGGAGGCCGGTGGGGATGCTGATGTTGAGGAGGAGTTTCTTGAAGACAATGATGGGGAGAATGGCGGTGATGATGCCGAGTGACAAGTTGCTGCTGCTTTAGTATATT